GGCCATCTTCTTTCTGAGTTCTGTACTTTTCCCTGGGCAGTCTCATCCCCACTGGATGAGGAATGTAGAAAGTGCTTTTGCTAAAAAGCATTGACTCTTCACTTGGGCTCACAAGCCACCTTGGGTCACAGGAAGATTAAATCCTCACAGGACAGCTCCTACACCCCTGAGGAGGGCAGTTATCCAAGAGGGCAAGGTTAAACCCTGGAACAAAGGAATCATTTTGCAGGAACCAGACTGATCTCAAACAAATGACAGTAGAAAAGGGTGTGTTGGACAAGGATGTCTTCAGAATTGAGAAATGGATGAAGAAAACAACAGCTAAAACCACTACTTGATGAGACCTGCTCATGTCTCTTGCTCCTTGCTCCACTTAAATCTAAAGCCATAGTTTTCTTGATTCGCATCTCATAACTGCTTTATTTAAACCCCAGTGACTTAGTTCAACTCTACTGAGACACCATGTATGATAATATAAATGAGAATGCCCCTCACGAGCTCTTATGTTTGAATACTTGGCAGAACTTGCAGAATACTTGCAGAATTGGTGGAACTGTTTGGGAAGGATTGGGAGGTGTGGCCTTGTTAGGGGTTTGTGATGGGGATGGACTTTGAGGCTTCCCACTGTCTTCTCTTCCTGCTACTTCCAGATCAGGATGTGAGCTCTTCCCGAAGCTATGCCTTTGTTTCCCCATCATGGACTCTTTAACTCTCTGAAACTGTAAGCCTAATTGAATACTTTCATTGATAAGCTGCCTTGGTTGTAACATGAATTAATAAATGACCCAGAGACTGATATTGGGGTTCAAGCTTCAAGCTGAATATCAGAAAAGCAAAGCAGCTGGCCACTAGCTTCTCACCTCTACCTCAGGCTGAAAGGGATGATCCTATCTCCAGAGCTCTCACCAGGCCTCAGACTGTAAACTCTCCTCAGTGTGGCTGGAGAACGAATGCCTCATACTGACTCCTGATACTGACTTATATACCTCTCATGATTCCTGAGATTAAAGGTGTGAACTATAATTCTCTTTTCGATGAATCCACTCTTGTGTAGATCTGCATGGCCTTGAACTCAGAGCGATCGTCTATCTCTTAACCCTGATTAAAGGTGTGTGCCATTGCTGCCTGATCTCTACTAACTTGAGGCTGACTTTGCTTTCCTGAATCCTCAGTCAAGCTTTAATAAAAAATAAATAGTATATCACTACACTTGGTCATTGTGTTTTGTCGCAGCAAAAAAACAAAAACAAAAACAAAAACCAAAAAACTTAGCCACCACATTTACATCCTGTAAGAGTTTTCTGTAAGACCTGACACTCAAGTTCTTTCTTGGCCACAGCCTTTCTCTATCACATTAGTTGAGCTTGTCTTTATCCTTGGTGTAACTATCAGGTTTTTTCACCCCATGTTTTCCTTCTCTTGGTAAGCCTTGACCTCCATGCCTCCCTCTCCAGTCTCAATTCCATGAGCCTCCATAACAAATAAGTTGTAACAGTAAACTGATGACCTCTCACTCCTGCCTTGGCTGTGAATCAAATTTCAAGTGACAGGCACTAACCCATCTGACCCTGTCTCCAGTGCTACCTCTTCCTTAACACTTCGCTTCTGTCCTCTTAAAGGTACCACTCTCATAAACACTGGTAACATTTATACCTCCTGTAATGAACACCTTCATAATTTTGCTACATGTCCGTCTAGCCTCAGACTCACTCCTAGGAGAGCAGTGTCCACACCAGACCTCTGTGCTCCCCATGTCTAGCCTCCATGTCTGTAGAAGAACCCATCACAGCTCAGTTTGGGTGAGTGGGCAGTTTTGGCTTTTGGTAAAAGGAAATTGGGTGTTATGGTTTGAAAGAAAATGGCCCTCAAAGGGAGTGACAGTAATAGGAGGTGTGGCCTTGTTGGAGGAAGTATGTCACTGTGAGGGTGGGCTTTGATGTCTTTTTTTCCTCAAGCCTCCCTCAGTGTGACAGTCAGTCGGATTCCTGTTGCCTGCAAATGTAGCACTCTCAGCTATTCCTCCATCTGCCACATCTGCCTGTCACCATGACACCATGATCCCTGCCATGATAATGGACGGAACCTCTGAAACTGTGAGACACCCTAATGAAACGTTTCCTTTATTAAAGTTGCCATGGTCATGGTGTCTCTTCACAGCAATAATAACTCTGAGACAGGTGTTCACTAGTGATAGATAATATTAGTTGTCAACTTGACATTCTTGGGATGAGGGAACTGCAATGAGAAATTTCCCCCATGAAGTTGGCCTGTGGTCAAGCCTGTCTAGACATTTTCTTGACTACTAATTGATATAGGAGGGCCTAGACCTCTTCCGAAAGTAGCATTCTTAGGCAGATGGGCCTGAGCTGTATAAGAACCTGGGAGAAAGCCAGTAAGCAGCATTTCTTCAGGTTCCTACCCTGCTTGAGTTCCTGCCCTGACTTCCCTCACTGATGTACTGTAACCTGTAAGATAAAACAAATCCGTTTCTGAAACCCAGACTGGTTTCAATTATTTTTTATATTCCATCCCCAGACTGTTTTGTTCATGGTGTTTATCACAGTAACAGAAAGCCAACTAGAACACCACTCATCACTTTGGGCTGACAGTATTAAATTTTTTTAAATAGCACATAACAAGAAAAGAGAAAACAAAGACAGGGCATGGTGGCATCAGTAACCAGTACTTGGGAATTCAGTGCTGTCTTTAGCTACACAGCAAGTTCAAAGCCAGCCTGGACTCACTCACTCACTCACTCACTCACTCACTCACTCACTCACTCACTCACTCACTCACTCACTCACTCACTCTCACTCACTCTCTCTCTGTGTGCAACTCACTCACTCACTCACTCACTCACTCACTCACTCACTCACTCACTAGAGAGAGAGAGAGAGAGAGAGAGAGAGAGAGAGAGAGAGAGAGAGAGAGAGACTGGAGGGGGAAAGATACACATTTTCTTACACTTTTTTCTGTTTCTTTTTCTCTTTTCTTCTTTCAATTGTGCATGTCAGTCAGGTTGGGGGCAGATGGTTTCTGGAAAGCCAGAGGGATAGTCTGCTGGCATCCACGCACATACTGTTGGAACAGGCTTCCTTTGGCAGTGACTGGATCTTGGCTGAGAAATGAAAACACTCTGTGCAGAAAGGGGGAATGCATTCTTTTTGTGTGTACAGGAGAGGAAAGGCATCCCTTCCATCACCAGTCCTGTGGCACTAGCTTTAGGAGTAAAGCTGTAAGCCCTCTACATGCTGTAATAGAAGGTCTGCTGGGCGGAGGTCAACACAGCTTATGCCTCTTCTCCACATGACAGTTCCCAGCTCAGTGAACTGGGCAGACAGTGATGCTGAGAAGGGCCAGTGGCAACAGCCCAGTATCTGAGGAAGCAAAAGATGCCTGGACAGGCCAGCCTCCATGGAGGAGGCCTTGGTTTCTGCCAGGGGTACACAACAGCCTTTGAGAAGCCGAGTCCAAAGACTGAGATAATACAAGAAAAAGAAGAGGGTGTTAGCTACTGGACAGTTGGTCATAATAAAGCCAATTCATTTCCTAGTGAAGCTTTGGAAAACATGTTCCACCCATGGCTGGCCCCTGAGGCTAGGTCTATGCCAGGGAGGCATGGTGATTCTGTAAACCAAGTACTCAGAATGTTCAAGGCCATTCTGAGCTATACAGTGGACTTCTCTAAAGAACAAACTCCTTTCTAATGTATTGTTTGGATAGTTTATATTAAAATGCTGGTGCTCCCTCCCACAGTGGCTTCAACACAAGAATCTTCCAGCGGGCTTCAGTCACTGGTCTCAGGACACTCCTCACAGGTCCTGCTAAGGATTAGGAGTAGGGAGACATTTTTCCTTAATTTTCTCTACATTGGTAGCCTTGTCCTTTTTTTCCAGCTTCAACACAGTCCCTTTTGCCCACCCAAGGGGCACCTGTGGGTCTCACCAGCTGGGCTGCAGCCTCTTCTGGGAGGAGTGGCACTGCTGTGGGCATTTCCTTTTATATTTCTGTGACGCTCTCTCTCAGCACAGGGGCTGAGGAAGAGGTGTCTCCCTGGGGTGCTGCTGTTTCTAGAACCCTGGTCCCTGGCACTGGTACATGACAGGCTGGATGGCAGCCTGGGGGTTCTGAGCTGTGCCAATCTGTCTGCACCATCTAGGTTTTACATCAGCACAGTTCCCAGAACCCCCACTATCTGTGTTTCTTTCTGGCAAACCTTGTTTTATGCAACTCTACCAGCCTGCTTTTGAGAGAACTTCCTCTTGGGTTTGGGGACTGCCAAGGTCCATGAAGTACAGAGGATGGACACTCCCAGGAAATCTCCCCCCAATACTGCTAGGGCTAAACTCAAGCATGCCCACCACCTGTGAAATCTATGGAACCTGGGGTGGGGGGTGGGGACGGATGGATGGGGGGCGGGACGGGACACGACCCAAGACTCACCTGGGCTAAATGCTCAGTTGTTGGTTGTGACAAGATCTGGGTACCTTGGTTAAGAGGCTATAAAGGCAGTGTGAAAAGAAGGGGCACAGTGGACTGCGGCCCTTTTTACACTGTAGCCCCTTCCACCAAGGGTTACACTCACACTTACAATCTTTCAGAAGTCTAACACTGGGAACAAAAACTGACAGCTACTACATAGAATAGTCTTTTATTTTCAGAGCAGAGCCACAGCTGTGTTGGCAGCTCCCACTCCCTCGGGTCCAAGAGAGGCGAGCCTCAAGGGCACTTCCAGCTCCAGGTGCAAGCAGAAGCAATGTTCCCTACAGAGGGCTTGAGTGCTGCCAGCTCTAGCAGCTCCCACAGTGGGCGCTCTGCAGGATCCATCTGGAGTCCAGACTTTAGGTCAGGTTCAAGTGCAGGCTTCCTTTCCATCACAGCCTTCGAGCCTTCCGGGGCCGGCAGCCGTTGTGTGGGACAGGGGTGTTGTCTGTGACTGAGATCACTTCCAGACCGCCCATGGTTAGTCCTTTGATGGCAGACTGGAAGGATCAGAAACAGGCGAATGGTATGGTTTCCAAAATGATGATGACCCAGCATCTCCGGATAGGGGTCCAAGAGGGAGGGCAGGTCACTGGCTGGTAATCTACAATTCTAGCCCCTGCTGCCTCCACCTTGTGCTTTACCATCTCAGCAGAGGCTTGACCCCTGCTCTCCAGCAGCCTTACATGAGCATCTTCTTTTCTCGGATACACACACTCATACCCCAATGCCTCATTCTTGTAAAGTCGGAGAGATGTCGCCTCCTAGCCCCAGTGTTCCCAGTGTCGTAGGTCCCCCTGACGGCCCCAGTGCCTCGGTCTACAAATCTCCATTGCATTCACTAGTCTGTGCTGAGGATGTCTGTGATGGTACTACTTTTCCATTCCCAGGGCTGGTACAGAGCAGGCACTCAAGAAGCTGAGATAAATTACATGATGTAGGCTCATTCTGAGGGTCTTAGCTGATTGAAGGAACTAAGGGGCATTCACTGAGGGGACATTAAACTCTCTGGCTCTAAAGAACGTGCACACACGCTGTGGAGAACTCTAGTTACTTACCCAGCGTCCTGGTCCCATGCCTTTCACTACAACTCTGATGTGGGTCACTCCCTTTCCTGTGGCTTTCTAGAGAGAAACAAGTGGTCAGTGGCCCTGAGACAGGACGGCAGCATCCCAATTTTTGGTTATGGTCTCCAGGAGACGTGGGGGAATGGCAACAACAGAAGTAAACACGGAGGCAGAAGGCATAGAAAGAAGCAAAGCACTGATGGTGGTAGTGGAGAGGGACACCCTTAGAGTCTGGCAAACACGGGGCCAAGGAACTAACGTGACAGACAGAACTGCACTGCCACCTAGTGGACACTTCTAGATATTGCCTGATTTTTCTCCAACTGCAGAGAGGTAGGAGGCTGAGCCTGAATACCCTCTTCTAAAGTGGGATTTAGCATCTTTAGAGTTAAGCATGTGTCCAGATTATAAACACATTCATTATGGGTCCCGGAAAATACCCACAACTCACTCAAAGACCTCCCTGCTTCCGAATCTGGTTTAATGAGAACTCTCCACCATTAGCCACAGGGAACACACAACAATGTTGTCGGGTACTTACTGCCGCTGCTGCTATGCCCGCTGTCTGTGCTGCGATGCCGGTGCCCTTCTTAGCATTGCGAAAGCCTTCTGTGCCACAGGAGGCGCGGGCCAGGGGCACGTTAGCGGCAGATACTACCTGGATCTGTGTGCTTGGAAAAAGAGGCATATAGCTCTGCTCAGGGAAGGGAGGGAGCTTGCTACAATCCTTAGGAGCCCAAATGAGAAAGAAAAGGAGGACACTAGCTCCCTCCCCTATGTTAAAGGAAGACTGACAATAAGGACACACTTCCACCTTAAGCTTTCCCTGAGGCAGAGGTTATTTATGTTTGAGGTTAACATCCTTGTCTGGAGTTTTATAAAACCTAGATGTTTCTCATTAGGCAATTGTTAAAAAAAAAAAAAGACAACATTGGAAAGCCCCAAGTATTTTCCACTATAACAATGAAAAGAACTGTACGTGAGGGATGGCTTAATGGTTACAGATGTACCCACATGGCGACAGGAGAGAACTAATTTGTGCAAATTGTTCTCTGATCTCCACGTGGTTATGCTCCACTCCCAACAAATAAGTAAAAATATAATAAAGTAGTTTTAAAAAGTATATGACAGCTCGAGAGATGGCTCAGTGGTTCAGAACACTAGCTGGTCTTTCAGAGGTCCTGAGTTCAACTCCCAGCAACCATACAATGGCTCACAACCACCTGTAATGCAATCTGGAGCCCTTTTCTGGCCTGCAGGCATACATGCAGACAGAACAGTGTATAAATTATAATTAAATAAATCTTTTTTAAAAAAGTATATGAATGAATGCCCAGAGACCTGTCACCTCGCTCTGCTCCAACAATAACCAACTCACATGCAATACAGTGTCACCTCTAAACGCTGTCCCCAATCCAGCATCAATGGACTGTTTTGAAATGAATCTAAGATCTATCATTTCAGTGTCTATCTCTAAAAGATAAAAACGCATTAAAAAAAAAACCCACAAAATCATTTGTCATGACAATATTATTACAGACACTCTGTTTTGGGATCAAAAATTATTTTAAATAAGTGAAACTTTTTTTCTAATTTGCTCTATAGGGGTAAATTGTAATTAAGAATGACTTTTAAGAAAATCCTAAGGTGTGCTTCCTGTCTCCCCCTTGGTTATCATCACCCCACTTTCTGCAGAGCTTTCTGGGTGCTCCTGGAAGGGGGGGAACTGAAGGAGATGCTGTACAGGACACCTGCTGGGTTAGCCCTGGCACCTGCTGGTGGCCTCATTATGGCTGTTATCCTCTCCAAGGGCTTCTCATATTTCCTACACTGGACAGAAACATTCTGATGCAGGGTGGATTGAAAAGGCCACAGACACAATAACAAAAAGAAAGCATAGAGGTTATGTCTGCATTAAGCTCAAGAGGAGAAGGGAGACACTGCTGGGGACCCTGTAGCACCTCTGGTGCCGTACTCCAACTGTGTGGCAGGCAGGCTGGGACCAAACATAGATTATACTTCCAAGTGGGACGTGGCCTGCAAAGTTGTCACCAATGCCCTATGCTTTTGTAGCTGGGAACCCGCTTGACACTTGTGTGTACAGCACACAAGGGCTCTAGTTGAGTTGCTGTCATTCACCATTACACTTAGTCCTGCAAGAGAAGGGGCAGTGCACAGGACCATAGGTAAGAAGGCTAAAGGGCTTGCACTTGTCTGGAAGTTTATATTCTGATAAGTTTACCAGTAATTATGTATTTGTAGATTGTTTTTCTCACAACAGAACCATTTCCTAATAATACAGTCCTTCTAACGCCTGTATAGGAATCCCAAGGAGGAAGGCAGAAAAACCTTAAAATTACAATGTACTAAATTAATTTGATATTTTTATGAAACTTAAGTAAACATTATAAAGAAAGAAGGTTGTTTCCCCAAACAAGATGAAGCTAGTATCTGACACCCCGACTTCTACTCCAAGAATGACTAAAGCAGAAACAGCTTACAGGGCACTCACTCACGCACGCACGCATGCACCCCCTTTCTTACTTGTTGTGGGTTGCTTTAATGTGTGCAACTGGGACCTCCTCAAATCTCATCCCCGCCCACCGCAGAGAGCTTTCCTGTCCAGGAGCTGGAGGGTAAATGCTGCAATCAAAAGAAATATTTGGTTTAATTTCCCAACTGTTCTTTAAATGAAAAGAAATACATACTTGCTTAAGGGCAGGATGGAAAAACTGAAACCACCTGGGCTAACCAGGGATACACACAGCTTAGGATATACTATAATACTCTGTTCCTGCAAGGCCCCTGCAAAGGCCTCAAACCTCCCAAACACCCACCCCATACACCAAATCAAACAACAGACAAAAACCTGTGGTAGTTTGAATATAACTGGCGACCATAATCTCATAGGGAGTGGCACTATTAGGTGTGGCTTTGTTAGAGTGGGTATGGCCTAGTTGGAGGAAGTGTAGGGGTGGGCTTTGAGGTTTCCTAGGCTCAGAATACTGCCTATTGTCTTAGTCGACTTCCTGCTGCCTGCAAGATATAGGCTTCTCAGCTATTCCTCCAGCACATCTGTTTGCATGTCACCATGTTCCTCACCATGATGACAATAGACAGAGTCTCTGAAACTATAAGTAAGTCCCTTCAATTAAATGTTTTCCTTCAAAGAGTTCCTTGTAAGACTTGTCGCTTCACAGCAATAAAAACCCTAAGACGAACCAGAATGAAAACTAAGAAGGCTCTCCACACCATTCTTTCCCACACCTTCTGGACACCCAGGATCTTTTAGTTTTAGTCTAATTTGCTTGTTGAGTTTCCCTGGGGCCACAGTCTTCATTTTCGGGTGGAAAAGTCAAGGGCAAACAGACACAGGGCCAGCCATGGAGGTCAGGACTTACACGGAGGAGACTGGTCTTGAGTCTGAGCTTCGTTCTTTAAAAAAATTAGAACACACATGTAACTGTCATTCAGCATTTCAGACGGGAGTAAACCTGCTGTTGCATTATGCCTACACACCTAAATCAGACTCAGATTTGTACCCACACACCCACGCCGTGTTTCTACTATGCTGAAATCCGTTTTAGAAAATACGATACCATTCAAGCACCCCCGGCCCCATCTGCTTCTCTAGGGATATTTTTGAAAGCTCAGCACAGAGCATTCTCTCCTGTGGGCCTGATTTTAGCAATGACGTGCAGCCTCTGTAGGTGGCTGGCTTACCAGTTTCTGTACTAAGAGGAAAAGTGTCTTAGTCCTGTAAATGACATTACTGTTTCAATGATCATTTCCCCACTCTTTTTTCCCCCCCCTATGTTGACTTGGAAGTGAGCAAATACAAATCTAAGTCTGAGTAAAACTGATACAATCCCCTTTATAAAGCAAGATTTTGAAACCAGGAGCTTGAGCCATTTAATCTAGGGCATCGCCAAGTTCAGCCCTCTAAACTTCAGTTGGGCATGGTAGTGCATACCCGTAATCCCAGCCAGGAGAGTCCGTCACCATGAGTTTAAAACCAGCTATGATGACAGAGTTCTTGGTCATTCTGGGATACACAGTCACAAAACAAAACAAAGCAAGATTGAATGCCCAGGTAGAAGGTATAATGCACAATGGCTCATCTGAGGAAGGCCCTACAATACAGAGACAGAGCTTTCTGGAACTAGTCTGGTGAGGCAGTTCATTCCCAAATTGGGAATTTTTTTTTTTAAGATTTTATTTATTTATTTATTTATTAATTATGTATACAGAATTCTGTCTGCATGTATGTCTACACACCAGAAGAGGGCATCAGATCTCATTATAGATGGTTGTGAGCCACCATGTGGTTGCTGGGAATTGAACTTAGGACCTCTGGAAGAACAGTTAGTGCTCTTAACCTCTGAGCCATCTCTCCAGATCCCTGGCTGGCCTGATTTATGATGTAGAGCAGGCTGTCCTCAACCACAGAGATCTGCCTTCCTCTGCCTTTACTGTACTGGGATCAAAGGTGTACACCACCATGCCTGGACTAATGGCATAATCTTTAAAAATGCAAATACAAGCAACTAAAGAATGCTGAGAGAGGAAGAAATAAAGCATCCTGATGGGTAATCCAATACCCAGTGGTCAGCCCTGAAGTCACATTACACCGACTGAAGATCAGGTTTTATTTATGAGAAATATCTCCCCAAACAACAACAACAACAACAAAAGGCCGTAAATTTGGGAAAATGGGGATATAAGGGAGGGATTAGAAGGAGTAAATGGGGGGGGGGATGATGATGATGATATAATTGTTTTTAATTTCAAAAAAGTTGTTTAAAAATGGCAATAAACTGCAAAATCCATAGTTGGGGCTGTGTCCTCTGGCACTACTACTACTACTTCTCCCTTTTTAAAGATTTATTTATTTATTATGTATATAGTGTTCTGTCTGCATGTATGCCTGCAGGCCAGAAGAGGGCACCCGGTGTCACTACAGATAGTTGTGAACCACCATGTGGATGTTGGGAATTGAACTCAGGATCTCTCTCTGGAAGACCAAATGGTGTTCTGAACCACTGAGCCATCTTTCCAGCCCCCCATCTGGCACTACTTCTATATAACTGTTGATTTCAGCAAGAGCTCCAAAAGTTCTGCACTTTAATTTCTAACCTTGTCTCCTTCAATCATCATCTGTCCTCTGTCCTCCCTTGGCTATGTACTTTTGGGGTCACAGCCAGCCATTATCATTGACAGCACATGCATCATATAACCTTGACTTCAAGCATCCCTGGCTACCACCCCCTTGTCTGTCTCAATACCTTCAGGGCCAGCACTCTGATGAGCCCATCAGATCTCTGTCATTCCACATACCTTAGGCACTTTACCTGGACTAAAGTCTACTGTCAGTTCTCCTCTTCATCACTTTCTCCTGGCAAACTCCCAGCCCTTATTTAATCCACCTCTCTGGACAAACACTGCATGGCTGACTGGTCTCTATACCAGGACTTTTGACTGCCCTCTGGGATAAAATACTGCTGTAGGAGACTGTCCAGTGAACAGCGGGGAGCTTGGTAGCATCCCTGGCTTTAATTCACTAGGTTCTATCTCCTAGTTTATAACCACTAGAGGTTTTAGGCACTGCTAAAAGTCCCTACCAAGAACCACTGCTTCATTTTAATGACATTCCAGCCGGCTCAAGCAGGCTCTCAGGACGCCTGACAACCATTCTCAGTTCAATTACCCTTCCATTCTCAGGATGCCTCTTCTAAACCCTTTCATTTTGTCTGCGTAAACATCCAGCCCCCTCCTGTTTCCTCGGAGCCAGATGATGACCTCTACAGAGAAATAGAATCAATTAGACTTTCTTCCAGCCTCCACCACCAAACACCTGGGCCCCTGGCCTTAAAGGACTCTGTCACAATGTTCCAGTCGCATATTAGCCCTGCAAGGACACTGTTCCTTCAGTGTTCCCACTTCAGAATCAGTGCTCCCTTGGTTCCCAGGAGCAAAACATATTGTCATGGCAATAAGCATAAATCAAAACAAGAAGAACAAAAAATAAACCTTTTAAACCCCAAGTTCCCAAGAGCTTCTCTATTCTTCCTTCCAGCAAAGCCTCCTTATAGGAATGACAATACTTGTTTATTCGCTTTGAAACCAAGCCACTCCAATTAGAAGTTATTTCTGACCTCTCCATCAGAAAAGCTGTGGTCAAGGTCACCAACCCACTCCACACTGTTAAATCCAATGAGCAATCATGTTATCTTTCTGTCAACCCATCTTTTCTGCAGTGTTGAACACAGCTGAATTCCTTACTTTGTACCACACTAAGAAGAAAATCTTGTCTGGCTTTCTTCCTATCTGTCTTGGGAAGCTCTTTTTCGCTGGTTCTTCCTTCCTCAAATCTTTGTCTATATTACACCTCTACTCTGATGCAAGATGGCTTAGATTTTTTTCTTTTATTATATACAGTTGCACAAAGCCATTTTAAAGCAAGTAAAAGGCATCTCAAACTTAACCACACAGATCTAACCTCCATTAGCCTCTGCCATCTTCTTATATAACAATTTCATATTTTCAGTTGTTGTTTAGTGCCCAGATCTGAGCCTTCTTACCCCTCTTTTTCTCACATTTTACATTAACAGACCCTTAGCTGGTTGTTGGCGAATGTCTGTAGTCCCAAGCACTCCGGAGACTAAGGCAGGGGGAACTGCAGCACATTCCAGGTCAACCTAGGTTACACAGCAAGACCTTGTCTCAAAACAAAACAAAACACCCAAACCAACAGCTATTCCAGCAAAATGGACCAAATTCCACCTGGGTACAGATACCATCATTTTTACCTAGACTAATTTTATTGCATTGTAACTGCTTTCAAGTCTTCTTGCTTCCATCCTTGCTCCCTATAACTTAATATCAGTGCAATGGACAAAGACTCTCTGAAGAGTAAGCAAGATGGCAGGGACTGGGGTATATGCTTGTAATCCAGGCACTCATGAGGCCAAGTTAAGAGGATTATAAATCCGAGGCTAACCCTGGGCTGCACAGCACATCAACGCTTGGTTGCCTGCTTGGATAGGGCCTTTACTTTTGGAACAGGGATGTAAGTCTGACAATCCTAATAGTGCCTAGCATTGCTCAGCGGCTCCTGGGCCACAGGGAAGCCCTTCACCAACCACATCCTTCTAGAGGCATCACATACCATGTTCTCTCTGACAGCCTGCCTTTCCAGCCTGTTGCTTTAGCCTGTAATGATGCCTCTCTGATCTTACCCAGCTGAATTCCTATTCAGTACACTTACGCACTCCAGGGTACCTTAAGTCTTGCCTGACTTCCCCAGGAATGCCTTACTCTTCTAAATGTCCAACATTCTTAATTCTATTTTTCTCATCAGATTATGGTTAAAACATTTGCATCTATGTCTTCCATGGAAGTGTGAACTACTTCAGGGGAGGAATAAACTTTTTGCATTTCCAGTACCTATGGTACACAACAGGTAGCAACAGGTAGATTTCCAATAACAGATGTGAAATTGGGTGAATGTATATACAGCCTGCATATGAAATAATTATACTAGTGGGATGCATGATGCCACTTCCCAGGGCTAGGCACAAAACTCATGCTGGACCTTTGATCAACTCTAAGAAGTGCAGTTAGTGTAGTTTCTCAAGTCAATTTGTGTTGGTGAAAGAGAAAGTTGCTAGTCGGACATAAAGCCTATCAATCTCACAAGGAAAGAAAACTGGTACTTATATATGCCTGCTGGAAGGCCAACACTTGCTAACTCAACAGCTACTTCACCCACAACCCCTCTAAGCATTATCTTCACTTTGAGGGCATGGAAGTTCAAAGACTGGTTTGCATAAACTCCCACAGATGGCAAATGATAGTCAGGAATTCACTTTTTCTATGACTCTGGAGGGTGACGGGCAGAAGCCACAGGATGCAAATGTCCTTGGACCCACTGAGTCCTCACCTGAAGCGGCTCGGAGCCGCTTGCTTTTCAACTTCCTGCTTGGCAGCCGCGTCTTCTAACCTCGGGACTCCGGTGTGGATAGTCTGAGCCGGAGCAATGGCCACAAGCCTGCAAAGGACAGCTCGGTGAGGGACTGGCTTAAGGTTCCTTTAGGGGTTCAAGTGGCACATAGGAGTGGAAGGCAGGCGGGCAGGCTCGAGAGTGGCCGTGGGCTCCAAAGGGCAATCCTTACCTGGTCAACCCAGGTCCAGACCAAGATCGCAGGAGCCACGCTCCCGTGTTTCTTACAACCTGCATGACTGAAATTGACTCAATTCAGCTGCCGTCGGTGGAGCCGGGCCTCGCTAGAGTCAGCACCATGAGCATCTGTGGGGGGAGCACACAGAAGGGAAATCACCTGACTGCTCTTAAATGGTATTTTAAGTATTTCTGTTCAAGTTTAAATGCTCTATAAAACCATCTATATGGGACTCTCTTCCTTTTTAATGGTCTAATACGAGAATTTTACCACCCTCTCCCAATGGCAATGGTTCGTTCTAATAGGTAACCCTGCCCCCTCGCCCGCCCGCGTTGCCTCATGGGAACGTGGGGTTGGCTGAGGGCCCCGCCGGGAGCCGCGGTACCTTGTGGGAAGGCAGAAAGATGGCGGCGCCCGTGGGGCGTACTCTGTTAGGGGCGACTAGAGGCTGG